AAAAAAAATAGAAAGAAATTAGTTGGATAACTAAAAATATATATGGAAAAAATGAGCCGGGCATGGTGGCACATGCCTGTAGTCCCAGCTACTTGGAAGGCTGAGGCAGAGGGATTGCTTGAGCCCAGGAGTTTGAGGTTGCTGTGACGCCATGGCACTCTAGCCTGGGCAACAGAGTGAGACTCTGTCTCAAAAGAAAAAAAAAAAGAAAAAAAAATGGTATCTCAGGGTAATTTAAACTTATATTTCCCTGACTTTGTGTAAGACTGAGCATCTTTTCACAGTGTTTAGGAGCCCTTTGTAATTCTTTGCTGAGAACTGTTTTGTTGCTGTATTATTGATCTTTTTTAAAAATCAGTTTGAGGACCTCTTTATATGTTGGTGAGATTAGCCTTTTGTCTATAATATGAATTGCAAGTAATTTTTCCCAGTTTGCTATTTGTCTTTTAGTTTGCATAGGGCTTTTGTTTTGTTGCCATGCAGAAGTTTAATTTTGATGTAGTCACCTTTATCATTCTTTTCTACCAAAGCTTCTGGATTTTCAGTCATGGTGTCCCACATTCTGAAATTATAAAGAAATTTGCCTGCGTGGTTGCCATCTAGTATTTTTATGGCTTCATTTTTGCATGTAAATCTTTGATCTGTTAGGAATTTATTCTGGTGTGTGAAGTTAGGTATGGGATCAACTTTATTTTCTTCCATATGGCTACCTAACTGTCCCAGTACCATTTTTTAAAATAGTTTATCTTTTCTTTATTGATTTGAGATGTCATTTTTATCATGTCCTAAAATTCTCAAGGTATCTAGATCTGTTTCTGGATTTTATTCTCTTCTATTCCTCAATTTGTCTGTTTATGCATTAGTACCAAATTGCTTTTAATTTCTGAGATTTTATATGTTTTCATATCTTTATAACTAGTTCCCCTTTTCAGTATTTTCCTGGCTGTTCTTTTTTGCAGTTTTCCATGTGAACTCCAGAATAATCTTATGTAGCTTTAAAAAAAAAACCAAGCTCTTGTTTTTATAGAGGTCATGTCAAATTTATGAATTAACTTGGGGAGAATTGACATCTTCATGATGTCTTTTTATCTAAAAGATGGTATGACTTTTTATTTGTTCCAGTATTACTTTGTACTCTTTAGAAATGTTTTAAAGTATTCTTTATATATGTTTTGCACACCTATTGTTAAATTTCTTTCTTTTTTTTGCTATTGTTTTTGGGGTCTTTCTCCCATTATATCTTCTACCTGCTTTAGATAAAGCTATTGACTTTTATAGATTATTTTGTACTCTACCTCTTTACTGGATTCTTACTGTTTTCCTTTATTTTTTCTCACGTACTTTGCATATTTTCTAATGTGACTTCT